CTGGAAGTGTCAAAGGCATGATGAGATAAACTGAGGGAGGTGAAGTTTGGGTGCTGGATATATGTAGTCTTTATGACAGCGATTATACTGCATTAGAAGCTCTGTTCAGGATTGAAAAGGATGCCAAGTTCGCAAAGCAGTCTGGTTTGATAGCTTGACAGAGAGATGGAATCAATGTCAATAGTATCCACCCCATTTAGACGTTCATTTTCCAAGAAGAATGTTTCTCCCTTATTCATTCTACCAGAACGTACCACTTCACACTTTATACTGTAGTTCATTTGCTATCACGTGCCTAGTTTTGCAAGTTTATTAATGGCCTAGTTTTCTGATAGCCAGGTAATCATTTGTAAAATGTAGATGGGAGATACTGTCACAACCCTGCAAAACCCCTGACATAACAGACTGAGAGGAAATTGTCTGGAAAATGGAAGATTGCAACAGAAACTTCTGTTATGCTTGGAAACTCCAAAGAATCTACTTAAATTGAAAATTTGGAAGGACGTGCTGTAGCTACATAAATAGTTATTCAGGGAAAGTTAGTCAATTAAAAACCTACAGTAACTCCTTGGTAATTATTAAAGTGTTCCTGTAATTTACCACCTCCGTCTCAAACACACTTCTCAGACCCCTGCCAACCCATCACCACCAGTCCCCAGGACCTGAAAACATCCACCTGCCACTGAACCCAATGACTCCCTTGGGGTCTGACAGACCCCCATCTTCTGCAGGACCTGATACCCCTAACCCACCCAACCTATTATAAACATTGTCCACCCTTCCCACATTGTGTCCCGAAACCTTACGCACATGGCAACCTACCCACCTGTCACCCTGGTATCTTATCTCCTACCACGTATCAACCTAATCTTTCACAGGAGCTGTCAAAGTGACCATCTTGTTGGTAGACATTTAAATCACAACATATCACAATGATTCAGAGATAGTAGGAACTGCTGATGCTGGAGAATCTAAGATAACAAGGTGTTGAGCTGGATGAACACAGCAGGCCAAGCAGCATCAGAGGAGCAGGAAAGCTGACGTTTCGAGTCTGGACCCTTCTTCAGAAAGGGTAGGGATTCTATGATCTATGAATTTCTTTCTATGATATTCTACACATTAACACATGACCTCTCACTAGTTAAAGTTCTAGTGGAAACAAGCCCAGCCTCTCCAACCTATCACTAAAGGCAAGCCACTCATTCCAGATATCAATCTTCAACTCATGTGCATCCTTCTTTCAAATAATGAGGCCAAAAATGCCCACAGCATTCAAGTTTCCATCTCACCAATGCTCTGTATAACTGAAGAATAAAATCCTTACTTTTATGTTCAACTCCTCGCATAAAAAAATGGATAACAGCCCATTAGCTTTCTTGATTATATGCTGTACCTGCATAACATTTTGCGACTCATGCACTCAAATACCTAAATCCCTCTGTACCTCAGAATTCCATACTCGTTCCTCATTTAAATAATGGTCAGCTTTATCATTCTTCTTGCCAAAGTTACCATTTTCACATTTTCCTTCATTATACTCCATTTTTGTCCACTCACTCAATCTACCTATAGTTTTTTTTAAGTTCATTCACGGGATGCTGGTGTGTACAACTTCCTTTATCTTCTTCACAACGTACTTCTCTACCTATCTTTGTGCCATGTGTAAATATAACTCCATGCCTACGATTGCCTCCATCTAAGTTGTTAATGTAAATTGAAAAATGCTGAGGCTCCAGCACAAACTCCACTCGTCACATCCTGCCAATGTGACAAAGATCCATTTATGCATACTCTGTTTTCTGTTAAGCCAGCTAATCTTCTATCCAGAGAACTGCCGATGCAGGAGTAAGAGATAACAGAGTGTAGAGCTGGAGGAACACAACAGGCCAGGCAGCATCAGAGGAGTAGGAAAGTTGAAGGAAATTTCTGAAGGGTCCCGACCCAAAACATCAACTTTCCTACTCCGCTGATGCTGCCAGGCCTGCAGTGTTCCTCCAGCTCCACACTGTGTTATATCTAATCTTCTATCCATCCTGTTGTTTCCCCGAGCTTTTATTTTCGTGTAAAATAGCTTTTGATATGACACCTTAACGAATGCCTTCTGGAAATCCTGGTACAGTATGCCTATAGGCTTCCCGCTATCCATAGCTTGTGTTATTTCTTCAAAATCTCTAATAAATGGTTAAAAATGATTTCCTTTTGATGAAGGCATGCTGACTCTTACCAATAACCTTGAGATTTTCTAAGTGTGTGACTGTTTTTTCTTTAATGGTTAATTCTAAAACCTTCCCTGTGACATGTCAAACTAACTAGCCTATAAGTCTAGACCCTTTCTGAAGAAGGGTCTAGACCCGAAACGTCAGCTTTCCTGCTCCTCTGATGCTGCTTGGCCTGCTGTGTGCATCCAGCTCTACACCTTGTTATATCACAATCATTGCTGTGAACAAGGGGGTGAGCTTTGACTTCCCCAGACTATTCTGCATTACGAGGGACCTGTCAGATTTAAAGTACACTCCACATTCCCCTGATCAGAATTTCCTGTTAGAAATGCAGAGCTCTTCCTTTCATGTAAAAAAAAGGAGCGAAGTGACAATCTGAGTGTGATTACTGTTCGTCAGAAAATATAGCCCAAAGTCTTTTTGTCGTAATCTTCTTGTAATAACTACGTTCATGCTGCTGATTCCCGAATCTAAATTATTTATGTAGATGGTGAACAATGTTGGCCCCAGAACGCATCATGTGGAACATCCCTTCCAGTATGAGTAACTATTTTTATGGCGGTTAGGAGGGAGCAGGAGTCAGCAGGAGTTGTGTTTGAGGAACCTGTTAGAAATTTGAGATTGTGCTGTCATGGAGGAATCTAAATGGATTCTGCATGCTCAGCATTATTATGATGCATATTATCTTAGTTGCTTACCTAATAATTTAATGTGGGTAATACATTGCATTTATGTTGTCTAGTTGTGAATAGTTTATTCTACATATTGTTGAGCAGGTATAATTAATCTTTATCACAAATTCCATAGTTTTGGAAGGCAATGCCACATAGTCCTCACCGTACAATATTATTGGCTAGGGAATTTAGAACAAAGGGGAAGGGTCTCTGGGTACAATTACAGCTTTTAAAAGGCATTTGGATAATTACATGAATAGGGAAGGTTTAGAAGGATATGGGCCTGGAGCAGGCAGGTGGGACTAGTTTAGTTTGGGATTATGTTCTGTATGGACTATTTGGACTGAAGAGTTTGTTTCCATGATGTATGACTGTGTGACTGAGATGAGGAGAAAATGCTTCACCTGGAGTGTTTTCCATCCCTGGGAGATCTTGTGATGTTTCATTGTTTAATGTACTTAAAGCTGATATAGACATTTTTTTAGTTTCTCCGTAAATAGGTGAACAATGGAGTTGAAGCTGAGAATCAACCATGATTGTATTGAATGGCAAAGCCAACGCCATGAGCTGTACTCCTGGTCCACTCTTCCTGTTTCTACTACTTTTGTGTTGATTGACCTGCTTTTACCACAGGTTTTGTTTGATCTATTCTTAAAATCTGGGGAATTTGGATGGTACAGTGGCTCTGTGGTTAACACTGCTGCTCACAGCGCCAGGGACCCAGGTTCAGCTCCACCCTTGGGCAACTATCTTTGTGGAGTTTGCACTTTCTCCCTGTGTCTGCATGGGTTTCCTCTGGGTGCTCCAGTTTCCTCCCACAGTCCAAAGATGTGCAGGTTAGGTGGATTAGCCATAGGAAATAGTGTTACAGGGATGGGGTGGGTCTAGGTTGGATACACTTCGGAGGGCTGGTGTGGTCTCAATGGGCTGAATGGCCTGCTTCCACACTGTAGGGATTCTATGAAAAAAATTCTTTGATAATTACTAGAGATCACAAAAGTGTGTTTAACAGAGCATTCTGCTCTTCATTCGTTGAAATTAAATCTGATAACACTCTTGGCCATGAACACAGCCTATTCAACTGCTAATGACTATCACATCTTGATAAAGTCAATCCTATATTGCTTTCTCTCTTGCGCTGATCATGTGGATTATTAGTTAAGCTTTGTCAATTTCAAATCCAGTTCCAGGTGTATTGTTAAAACAAATCATGGAAGCTATTATTAGTATCGAAAACAATATTTATTTCAAGGTGAGAGATTCATAAATGTTGCTATTCTCGAAATATTAGTGCTGTTGAATGCAAATCACAGAAAGGAAGTGAAGGCTAATACCAGAATGTTATCTGGTCTAGAGAGCTTTAGTGATGAAGAGGAGCAGAGGAGACGGCGAGGGCCTGACTGAAATATATAAAATTATGAGGGGCATAAACAGTGTAGATAGGAAGAAACTTTTTCCTTTGGTGGAGGGACCAATCACCATAGGCACAGATTTAGGGTAAGGGATAGGAGGCTTCAAGGGGATGTGAGGAAAAATTGTTTTACCCAGACAGTAGGTAGAGGGAATCTGGAACTCAACAGCCTGTATGGTAGAGGCAGAAATCCGCATTTCAGAAATATAGAAACACAAAATCTTTTTGTCACATCCTTGGTACAAAAAAGTCCATTGCATCTATGCATTTTACTAAGAATCCCTTTTCTAATCTATAAAGTATTTTAAATAATTATGTGAAGCAAAGATGGAGAGGCAGTCTTTTCCTGACTACTATTTTGAAGGTTCCCCACTGTTCTGCTTGAAGGTGATGTAAGCTAATACACCAGCTGCTGCATGGACTGAGCAAATTGTGTCTGCACACACAATCCCACTATAATTTGATGCAGTAGCCTTTTAAATTGCTGCAGGCACACTGTGCAGCAGGTGGGAGCTTGCTACGCATGCATAATTTGATCGAACTTGGAAAATCCCATAGGAATGGTCACAAGCAGTTGTTGGGTGGTTGTCCCACTCTGCACTGTTTCTATCATGGAAGTGACATTGGGCTGGATTTTCATGGAGTCAGGGAGACTGTGATGGTACTCAACTCTGCAATTTCAAATCCCATTCCCAGGGTTTCTGATTTTCACCAGTGCTGTTTAAAGGTGTGGACTGGTTCAGAATTTGAGCACACACCCTGTAAACCTGACTTGTTGGCTCCATTCTATAGGTAAGTCCTAGTCTTCACAATTTTTATTGAACTGGGCTATCTTTTAAAGGACTCATGCTTAACAGTAGCCTGCACTTCAGAGGTGATGTGAACTGCGGGCTGGATAAGGGAACCTTTTAAAGCAAAGTTTAGAAGTCTTATGTATGTCCACCCATGACAAGCTACATCCCTGCACTCAATTGAACACCCCCATCCCCATCCCATGGCCACTCATATCCCCAATGCCAAGCTGTGATACTTCTATGCCCATTCACGCACTGTATAGAAGCAATTAACCATATAGTGGTGGTAGAATGTATTTTCTTAAAAATTTATTAAATTGTAATTTTCATACCTTTACACTTTCTTAGTTAAAAAAAGCCCTCCTTTTCCTAAAGGTCAATAAAAATGCCAGTCCTTCAGACTGTTTAAGGTATCAATACAGAAGCTGCAAGCTCTAGAAACCCCTTTATCTGTCTCAGTCTCTTTGATCTGTACATCCTTAGCTTACAATGATCTGCTTGTATCGCTTATAAACAAAGCTTTTCACTGCATTTTTGTACACATAAAATAAATAAATCAATCAAACTTTATCTAATGTAAATAAACAGTGATGAAAAGGCGCATTTTGTCAAAGCTTCTATCCTGCACTCATCAGGATATTCACAAGAAATACTAATGTAACATTTAATATTGTACAATAAGAGAATGCTGCTTGATTGGCAGAAGAACTCTGATTGGTAGACAGATTGCCATAGAGAATGTACCAGTTTTATGATGACTAACAGTTAACTGCCAAGCTTCATTTAAATTTAAACAAGCTAGGTTTCTCTTATTCAACTCCATTAATGCTCGTGCTGGAAATCTGATAAATGAACAAACATTGTGGAAGTAAATCTTGACAGATCAAGCAACATTTGTGGAGAGAAAGAGCTAACATTTTAGATAGATGACCTTTCATCAGAAATATAAAATGGACTGTTATTGCACAAACTTTTTTTTGCTTTTTTTCATCCTTGTAAATTGACACTTTGGACAAAGGTACAGCATTACATTGCAATGCAAACAGTGAGGCGGCACATGCTAACATGTTGAAGATGTTGAAGTCTTTCTTAAAAGTTTGGGCTTAAATAAGTGAAAGAACATCTGTTGGTTAGTTACACTAGATTTGATTATTGTTTTCCAATCAGGACTATTTTGCTATCTGAATGCATTTAGTTGACTCAAATCACTTTCACTTTAAAACATACAGTCTGTAAGACACATCACAACCGTCTGATTTTCTGAAGAAGCGTCCAGACCTGAAACGTCAGCTTTCCTGCTCCTCTGATGCTGCTTGGCCTGCTGTGTTCATCCAGCTCTACATCTTGTTATCTCAGATTCTCCAGCATCGGCAGTTCCCCCTACATCTGATATAACTGTTCACAAATTATGTCCCCTGGAGCATTCCTCATTTCAATTGTTCCACCAATGTGGCTGTCCCTTCAGCTACCTATGTCCTAAACTCTGAAATTTCCTATTTAATCTCCAATTCCCAATTTCATTTTAAAGATACTCTTATAATCTACCTCTTTCACCAAGTTTATTGACTTTTGACCAAACCTCACCTTAAGTAGCTCGCTGTTTGATGTTGACTGGTAGCACACCTATGAAGTACCATGGGACTTTTTATTATGTTAAGGGAACTAAATAATTGTATGTTGTTGTTGACAGCAGGTGGATCAATGGGAAAGGAGGGAGTCCTCTTCACCATTAGAAATCAGAAGTCACATTCATACCTATGTTGTGAATTGTCCATTTAGAAAAACCATATGGAAATAAAACCGAACTTCTATAAAGGGCAGCTAGTGCACAGCACCACCTCTGTGCCCAGAGTAAGTTGTGAATTTACCTCTCCCTCTGCCCTTTTTTCATTTTTTTCCTCTTTCATGTCCATCCAGCTATCAGATTCATAATTTATTTAATTGAAACTGTTGTGTTAGAAGGCTTTCATGATGACTGGAGTTTTACCATACTTCCTTACCATTCCCTTGCTTTCCTATTACTCTCTGAATGCGATTAAAAAAAACAAGATGACCAATGAAAATGCCAGATGCTACCAGCATAGTCATGCAGGTGTCAGATCATGATTCTGAAGTCGGAGATCATGATTTGACTGTGTATGTGTTAGTAAGACTGACTTTATTGGTTTCTTTGTGTTACTGAACAGATTAAAAGTGAAATTATCATTAACTACTGTAAAAGAGTTGACGGTGATTGGAGGCATGCTATGTCAATGCAAAATGAATGCTGAGTTTGGAACCATTATAAACTTTCCTCTCCTGCCCTCCCTGCAAGCTACACAAATGTCATATACCCTAGTGTAGCTCACTTAACTGGTCACTTTCACAGCAAAACTTTGAACAGTGATTGTTTGAACTCCGTCCAAATTAATATTTAAGTTCACTAGCTCCAAGTGACAAATGCACTTTCTTTACTGGATTACGTATCCAATGATATTACCATTATGCAACAACCTCTCTGACATATTGCTACTTATGAACCAAGCTACACAGGTAACCTGTCCTTGGCGTCATCCCATCTCAGAACCCTGCCTAAGAGAGTGCTACTGTTTCCCCACTGCCCACGGTAGCTTAACATTTTCTCATTGTTCAATACATACGAGAAAGTCTTAAAATAGTTTAAAATGTTCACTTACATCCAGAAACAGCAAAAGCAAAAAACAAATAAAAGCTGTATTTGCTTTTCAGAACAGAAAGGGACCATTTGCCTTTCATGCCTCAACAAATTTACAGTTAATGAATGATCACGACATCTAGCTGACATCTATTGGAACAGGTGTCAATTTAGTCCTGTCTACATTGTTGCGCCTGACACTTGAGCGTTCTACTGTACTGAAGATGATGTTCCTCCTGCTTAACATCCTCACCTTCCTCCTCAGAAGACTGTTACTGCTACCCCACTTCTTCAGAGTCCATTACATCCCCTCTTCCAAAGCACAACATGCTAGGGTTATGCAAAGCACAACATGCTAGGGTTATGCAGCACACTGGCTGGGCTATGTTGCAAGGCCTCCAGACTAATCCAAACATCAAGATCTCATTGGAGATATGGTTGGTAAGTTTGTGGATGACACCAAAATTGGTCATATAATGGACAGTGAAGAAAGTTATCTAAGAGTACAACAGGATCTTAATCAACTGGGTCAGTGTGCCACGACATGGCAGATGGAATTTCATTGATATAAATGCTTTTATTTGTTGCATTTTGGTAAGGCAAACAGAGCAGGACTTATGTGGTTAGTTGTAGGGCCCTAGAGAGTGTTGTTGACCAGAGGGACCCAGGGGTGCAGGTTCATAGTTCTTTGAAAGTGGTGTCTCATTTTAAACAAGGCATTTGGCACACATGCCTTCATCGGCCAGACATTGAGTATAGGAATTGGGACATCATGTTGCAGCTGAACAAGATGTTGGTGAGGGCACTTTTAGAATACTGTGTACAATTCTGGTTGACCTGCAATAGAAAGAATGTTATTAAGCAGAAATGTTACAGAAAAAAATTTTTCCCTGGATCGTTGGAGGCTGAGGGGTGACCTTATGAAAGTTTATAAAATCATTGGGGACATAGATAAGGTGAATAGCCAAGGTTTTTTCCTAAGTGTAGGGGAGTCCAAAACTAGAGGGCATAGGTTTAAGGTGAGAGGGGAAAGATTTAAAAGGACCCTATGGGGCAACTGTTTCACACAGAGGATGGTGTATGTATGAAATGAGCTGCCAGAGGAAGATGTGGGTACAATTACAACATTTCAAAGACATTTGGACATGTACATGAATAGGAAAGGTTTAGAGGTATATGGGCCAAATGCAGGGAAATAGAACTAGTTTGGTTTAGAATCCCTGATCAGCATGGACGAGTTGGACCAAGGGGTCTGTTTCTGTGCTGTATGTCTCTAGCAGACTTATCACCTACTCCATGGTGGCCCTAGTTGAAAAATGGGTAGGATTTTATCTGGGTTGTTTAACAGACTCATCAGCCTCACAGGATAGCCCTTGTCTCCTAGAAACCATCCCTTATAAGGCATCTGGCCCTTGAAACCAGACAGGAACATAAGTCTTCTCAATGTTATAGGCATCATGGCAACTCCAACTGTAATTCCTGTGGATTACTAAGCTGTGGTATCATTTATCACAGATGACATGTACACTGATGAAATGGACTCCTTTTTTGTTCATGAATCAGCCACGTTATGAGATAATAATCTCAATGTGACAAATGTACAGGCTATGGCACCCTGCACCTGGCAGTAGCCAGTTATGTTACCAAAGCCTACTGCCTGGCAGCAGCACTGACTTTGTAATGGGAAAATGAGATGAAGAGGTGTGATCTGGCACAAGTTACATCCGTAGGAGCCTTAACACATTTGTGTGTTGAGGATTGTGCCCTACAAAATGTAATTTGCCCAACCACCACCACTCCTTCAGCGATAACTCATTGCGGAACATTACGTACCACAGATGACCAGGCGGTACAAAACCAACCTTTTCATAGGCCTACATTCATTGAGTGATGGACTTGTAAAATACATAACATTCTGTGTTTTTGTTATGACTCGATATCAGATTATAACGTAAAGATGCAGCAGGCATATATCTTCCCTTTAAATTTCTAAATAAAACTAGACTGTAATTGTGGGTCCTTCATGTGAAGCCGTACTTTCAGAAAGAAAATCCAGCGGAACAAACTGATGTCACTGCTTTTCAGCTGTGGGTGTTTCATGCTGATGGTTTTGTTTTGGGAACCCGGGTCATGTGTCACTATTTTGCTGGTAAAGAATCAGCACAGACTTGAATGGATTCCAGCCATGGCATACTACAAGAATTCTATTTGTAAGAGTTCAAATGAGAGTACAAGTCCCTGCTGTTTTCACATATTGATGTGCTATATGTGTTTTCTGTAACACTAAATGGTGGAAATTTTTGAACATCACGATACAAAGTTGTTCAAGGTATTCATTTTGTAATGTGCCCAAATTTGGGCCATAAGACAAGTTAAATCAGTCATAAATTGGCAAAGCATTTTAAACAGATTTTGTTAATTCAAGAGGAATACTTGAACTCAATCAAATTATGCCAGAATTGAGCTTTTCATCTAACCCGCTTTTTAACTATCAGCTACAGATAAAGGAAACCTTTAACCCCCAACAGTCCTGTTCAGAAGACAAAGGGAATTTGAAAACAAATTACTGTTTTGAAAAAGGAAACTGAAAAATGAAATTAGATGCACTATTGAAGCAGCCTGAGCCCAGCCTGCTTGTGCAAATGGCAAACCAATTTTGTTCAGTCAGGTGCACACAAGACAAGCATGTGGCTCATCTTGGTCCATTAGTCACATAAGTGAGCATGCTTCTCACCCAAGTATACAGCATGTGCATTTTCAAACCTTCCAGGTCAAAGCAGCATGTTTGTTGGCACTCTATCCACCATCTTTAATGTTTACTCCCTCCACCCCAAGCATGTTGTGGTGTGGTATGTGCAACCTATAAGATACACTGCAGCAACTAACCAAGGCTCCATTAAAAACATCTTTCAAACCCCCATTGACCTCTATCACCAAAAGGCAGTTACATTTGAGCGACCGCCTCCAAGTCATACGTCAGCCTGACTTGGAAATATATATTTATAGCCTTTCGCTGTCACTGGGTCATTAACCTGGAATGCCCTTAATAGTGTTTTGGGCATACCTCAAGGACAGCAGCAGTTTAAGAATGCAGTTCACCACCACATACTCCAGGTCAATTAGGGATGGGCAAATGCTGGCCTTTCAAGGGAGCCCACATTCTATGAATGATCTTTAGAAGTTTGGATTTGTCATTTGAATTCTCATTGTTTTTATTCTCTTGTGGGATGTGGGCATTGCTAGCTGCCCAACATTTATTTTCCCTCCCTAGTAGTACCCGAGAAGGTGGTTGTGAGCTGTCTTCTTGAACTGCTGCCATCCATGTGCTGACCCTCAATGACAATAGTGAAGGAATTCCAGGATTGTGACCCAGCGACAGTGAAGGAACGGAGATATATTTCCAAGTCAGGATGGTGGGTGTCTTGGAGGGGAATTTTCAGGTAATAGTGTTCCCATGTATCTTCTATGACCCTTGTCCTTCCAGTTGGAAATGGCCTTGGTCTGGAAAATGTTATCTAAGGATCTTGAGCAAATTCCTGCAGTGCATCTTGTACATTGTACACACTGCTACGAATGAGCAGTGGAGGCAGTGGATGCCTGTGGATCAAAGGTGCAGATTAGATTGTAGGTCCATAATTAGAAATGTGATCTATTTCAAAATTCTCTAATGTAGAACAACACAGATGTTATCATCCTGAATCCACAGCATGTTTATGATTATAATATACAACTCGTATCATATTAAGGTTTAATTCCCCACTGCCTGCCAAAGAGACACAGGGGAATAGAAAAAAAATCATCCTTTGACTTTAGGAACAACTCCAACACAATGGGAATTTTTTTTTTAAAACGTCTTACTTTTACGAAATGAAGCTGTAAGAAAAATATGATATTGAATGGACAGTTGAATCATTGTTTGGGTACAGCCTGAGCCCACCCCATTTGTGCAAACAGTAATGTCTGGCACTGACTGAACCTTAATATTTCAGTATGAGATGCTAGCTTACAGTATAAATTGGTAACAGATTGCAGAACATAAGCATTACCAGTCTCAATAAAGGGAAACGGAGCCAAGTATGTAGTTCAGGGGGTGACAAGGTCCTTAAGGACTATATTCTACATGTTCAATGACTTGGGGTAACTATGGCTTGATTTAGCACACAGCAATACATCTGTGGTAGAAGGAGTAAACATTTAA